ACCAAAATATATGAAAAATATTATTTTTTCTATATTTTTATGTGTATATTTTTATTTTAAGCAAAAATAATATAAAATATTAAAAAATACTAAATAAGATTCATTATAATATAAATTATAAGTTATGTAGGTTATTTCGGTTAACCGACCGAATAAAGTGATTATTTCGATTCGTTTTAGTTCGGTTTGGAACAAAATTTCGATCGGTTTGGTTTTTCCAAAAGTTTTACTCGTTAGTTCGGTTTTGAAAGACAACATAAATAAAAGCATGACATTTTATAGTATATGCTTGCAATTTTATTAAAATAAATATATACTGATCGACCTGTCTAATGTGAGACTACTAAAGAAACAAGTTGTCACGAACGAACACGTACGAACTTTGTTCGCGAACAACCCTTAAAATGTATGCCTATTAATTATGAATATTATTGTAGCTGGTGAGGTTTAATTTCATTACACTACTAAAATTCCCATCAAATTAAACAGGCTAATTCTAACTTTCCACATGGAAACAAAAAGTAAAAATACAAATTATATTTTAGTTCTTGAATTTCTTATTATCATCTGAGATGAAAATCGAGAACCGCTCAAACCAACAATCTTGGAAGAACCGCTCAAACTCCATCGTTTGGAGTTTTCATCAGTTTCTTCTTTAATCCTTTCTCTAGTATTCCTTTGTCTCGATCCTTTTCATCTTTCTTTCGCTTTTTGATTCCTTAGCCGTGTTTGGTTTTTTCCTCTTGTGTTCTCTATTAGGGTTGGTTGCTTAGATCGGTTAGGTGGGTGTGTAGCGTTCGGTTTTAGGTCCTGTCGTTCTTCCTTATTAAGGGCTGTGGTGGAGGTGAGTTGGATTGAGGGTGCAGGTAGGGGGGATCATGGAGCAGGACTTGACTGCGAAATTGCAAAAATTCTGTTTATCGGAGAAGGAGGAGTCTGGGGTTCATTTGTCGAATGAGGATGTGGCGGTGGGCGTTCAGGACTGCCAGAATAGCTTAATTGGGCAAATCTTCGGGGAAAGAAAGGCCAATGTTCATGGACTGCGGACTACTCTCACGAGTATATGGAGCACTAAGCAGAGTTTTAGTATTAGAAATTTAGGGGATACCAAATTTCAGTTTGTTTTTCAGAATGAGGAGGATAAGAAGAAGATTATGTTAGGGAAGACATGGTCATTTGATGGCCAATATCTACTCCTGAAAAATTGGGATCCTACCAAGTTGGATTTCCAACTCAACGAAGAGATAATCAAAATCTGGGTGCAGATACATCAGTTACCCCTTCATTGGATAACTGAGGAGACAGGGGTTAAAGTTGGGAAGGTGATTGGCAAAGTGCTGGATGTGCAGATGCCGGGACAAGGTAATGGGGGGAGTAGTGTTGTGAAAGTGTTGGTGGAGATGAACATTAGAGAACCCCTGGTGAGAGGAACGTTCATTACGCTGGGTGAGACTAAACAATGGGTGGACTTCAGGTATGAACACTTACAGAATTTTTGTTTTTACTGTGGCTTAATAGGACATGGGGACAGAACATGTCTTACTAAGAAAGAGGATATTTCTGGTAATGTGTTGAAAGTGGGTCAATATGGGGAATGGCTTAAAGCATCTACTTTTCCTGGGGCGGAGTATAGAAGTTCTACTTCTAAATCTAGCCCTAGGAATAGTCAGCCTAGTGATACTAAGTCTTTTAAAGCTTCTAATCCTGAACAGGAGAAGGAGTCTGGTGTTGGGCTTAGTGTTATTGCAGCAGGTAAAGAGATTGTGGAGGTTGGTAATAAGGTGGTAGGGGAGATTGGAGATGGACAGGATAGCATGAGTCATCCTGTGCCTGCACAGGTAGGTTCTGCAGATCCTAAGCTCCTTGGGCTTGAGGAACCTAACCTGGAAACCCCTGTTGCTAATTCTGAGTTAATAGAAGTCAATATCCAGACTTCTACCAAAGGGGGGAGTTTGAATCAGAGAAGAAGGAAAATAGTGGTTAAAAAGAATAAGAGTAAACTGGGTGTCATTGATGAGCACATGCAATTAGATAATCCTGCGTCTGGGATAGGTCAGTCTGTAGTTAATCAGAGTGGTTCTAAGAGAGCCCTTGAAATAGAACCAATAGGTGTGTCTGATGTGGATTGTGTAGCTCATTTTCCCAAAAAGTCCAAAGTTTCTGAGAAATTGCAAATTTTAGAGGTGGAGGAAACCAGCCCTAACTGGTCCCAAAGTTTCCAATGAAAGTATGTGTGTGGAATTGTAGAGGTCTGGGAGGGCCCTCTATAATTTCCCAATTCAAAGAGGTTTTAAGAAATCACCTCCCTGATTTTATGTTTTTATCGAAGTTAAAAAAAAAGAAAAATTTGTTATTACTGTGTGTAGGAAGCTTAGGATTTTAGATAGGTGTGTGTATGTTAAACCAGTAGGTACCAAAGGGGGGTTGCTTTTATATTGGTCTAGTCATATTAATATTCTGGAGTTAAAGTGTCTTGAATTTTGTATAGAGGTCAAGTTTATGTACCAGGGCCTTGCTGAGGTGCAGTGTGGTTTGTTTGTTTATGCTAGTAATGAGGCTGAGATCAGGGCTGAGCAGTGGGTATCTATTCTGCGCTTGAGGCAGAGGTGGGGTAGGTTTTGGTTTGTGGGGGGTGACTTTAATGATATTCTTACTAATGAGGAGAAGGGAGGTGGTAGGTTGAGAGATCCTAGTAGTTTTAGGGATTTCAGATCCTTTTTTTCACAATTGCAGGGGGCTGAAACTAGGATTCAGGGTCATAAATTCACCTGGTCTAATAATAGAAGAGGTGACCAATTTGTGGAAGAGAAACTTGATAGAATCATTCTCTCCCCTGACTGGTTACTTCAATTTCCTCAATCTTTGGTTCAACACATTACCATGAGTTCCTCTGATCACAGTTTACTTCTTCTGTTAAGTGATCATCACCTGGGGGGTAAAAAAACCAAATTTGTGTTGGATATGAGATGGGCGAAATTACCTGGGTTTGATGAGGTAGTGGAAAAAGCTTGGAATATTCCGGTCCATGGGCCTTTGTTGTATAGTTTGCAGGAGAGAATGAGGAATGTTAAAAAGGCTCTTAGTATTTGGAGGGTTAGGTTCAAAACTAACTCAGCAAAACTAATAGAGCAATGTAAGACTCAATTGGAGTCTATGAGCAAACAAGGTGGCAGTAGGAATTGGAATGAATGGCATAATTGTAAAAAATTGTTGAGACAAGCTTATAAGAAGGAGGAGATGTATTGGAGTCAGAAGGCTAGGGTCCAGTGGGTTCAGCGAGGGGATAAGAACTCTAGATATTTCCAGGCAGTTGTTAAGCAAAGAAGGGCCAGAAATAGTCTCTTAAATCTTGTGAAGGAGGATGGGACTAGATGTAGAAATGCAAAGGATATCACTTTTGAGCTGATGCAGTACTTCAAGAACATATTTCAATCTTCTGTTCCTGATGTGAATTTTTGCAGTCTAGAAGGAATTCCTAGATCTATTTCAGAGCAAATGAACCATAGATTAATTTGTAAGGTGGAGGAGGAGGAGATTAAGGAAGCACTCATGGGAATGGAGAAGGAGAAAGCCCCTGGTAAGGATGGTTTGACAGTAGGTTTTTTCCAACACTCTTGGGCCTATATTAAACATCATTTCTGTGCGGCCATTGAGAATTTTTTTATGAGTGGCTGTATGCCTGTGGGTATTAATCATTCTGTTATTACCTTGATTCCCAAAATTTCTCACCCTACCAAAGTGTCAGACTACAGACCAATCAGTCTGTGTTCAGTGGTCTATAAGGTGATAGCCAAAATCTTAGCAAATAGATTGAAGCATGTCTTGAATACCTGCATTTCAGAGTCTCAATCTGCCTTTGTCCCTAATAGGCAGATTTTAGACAATGTGGTTATTGCTAATGAGTGTATTCATTTCTTGAATGGTAGAAGAAAGGGTAAAAATGCTTTGATGGCTGTCAAACTAGATATGCAAAAGGCTTATGATAGGGTGGAATAGGGGTTTCTAGTGAGGATTTGTAGAAGAATGGGGTTTTGTAATGTGTTTATCAATTGGGTTCAGAGCTGTCTTTGTACTTCCTCCTTCTCTTTCAATGTTGATGGTCAGCCTTTGGGATTTGTTAAGCCCTCTAGAGGTCTTAGACAAGGGGACCCCCTGTCCCCTTATCTCTTCATTATTCTGTCTGAGGCATTCTCTAACTTGCTGAAACAGGCTTGTATGAATCATTGCTTTAGTGGCCTGAAAATTAGTAGAAACTCCCCCAGCATATCCCATCTTTTTTTGCAGATGATGCCATATTATTTTGCAAGGCAGACATTCACCATGCTAGTCAAATCCTGCATATTCTTAACATGTATGGCAATTCATCTGGTCAGGCTGTGAACTTGAGTAAGTCATCTATCTTTTTCTCTAAGAATACCAGAGATAGCTATAAAGCTGACATTTGCAGAATCTTAAATGGTATTTCTTGTGTCAAATACTCCAAATATTTAGGCTTGCCTCTTGGGATTGGAAGATCTAAATCAGAGACTTTCAAATTTATTGCTGAGAGTGTTAAAAAACGAGTGGGCAATTGGAAGAATATATTTTTGAGTGAGGCTGGCAAGGAGGTCTTGATTAAGACTATTTTGGGAGCACTCCCAACCTATGCTATGTCCTGTTTTAAAATTCCTTTGTCTATTTGCAATGAAATGAGTAAAGACATGGCTAATTTTTGGTGGGGCTCTCATCAAGATGGTAGGAATAGACTTCATTGGATGAGGTGGGATGAGGTAGCTAAACCTAAGGGGTTGGGTGGGCTGGGTTTCAAAAATTTGATAGTATTTAACCAGGTCCTTTTGGCTAAACAGTTATGGAGGATCTTAACTAACCCCAATATTTTGATGAGCAGAGTGATGAAAGGGAAGTACTTTTTCAATGAAAGCTTGTTTAGAGTGCCTAAGAGGAGTGGGGATTCTTGGTTATGGAGGAGCTGGTTAGGGGCTAGGGCTATTTTTGACCAGGCTATTTCTTATAAAATTGGGGATGGGAGATCCATTCGAGTGTGGGATAGTCCTTGGCTTCAGAGCATTGCTGGTTCACAGCCCATTGGGCCTCTGGCAGGTGATAGAGAGAGGGTAGAATTTGTTAGTGATTTGTTCAAACATGATAGATATGAGTGGGATGTAGAGTTGGTTAGTCAGTCCTTTAATCCATATGTGGCTGGGAAAATTCTTCAAGTCCCCCTCTGTTCCATAGGTCAGAGAGATCGGATGCTTTGGAAATCTCATAAAAAAGGCCTATTCACTGTCAAATCTGCCTATGAGTTTTGGTTAGCAGGTCATCTAAATTCCAGAAGGGAGGTGGGTACCAGCACACAAGGAGAGACAGAGCATAAGAGGTGGATGAAACTGTGGAAGCTTCCTATCAAGCACAAGCTTAAAAACTTTTTATGGAGAAGCTGGCATGGGGTTCTAGCCACCAATGACAAACTGCAAATGAGAGGAGTGGAGGTGGATGGGGTTTGTGGAAGATGTGGTGCAGGGTTTGAAAGTCTGGATCATGTGTTTTTCAAATGTCAAAATGCTCAAATTTGTTGGAAATTGGCCGGGATTGAATGGCAGAGCATAGCAACAGGACAAGGTACCTTCAGAGATTGGTGGGCTGAGGTTTCACAAGCACATAATGCCAAGGCTATCAGAGATAGAGTATGTCTCTCAACATATCTACTTTGGTGGCTTTGGAAAACAAGAAACCAATGGATGTTTGAGAAGAAGTGGTGGTCTGAAAGGGAGGTGGTCAACCAGGCAATTAGTGATTGGGAGGAGTTCCAGTTAGCAAATGAGCAGCAGGAAGGGAATGAAGGGGGTGAGCAGCAGCCTAAGCATAGAAATAGAAAGGGTGAAGTTGGTATCAGACAAGTAGGGCAAATTTTGATTTCTGCCAGTGCCTCTGATATTGATGAGAACCTGATGAGTGTCATTGGTAGAGCTGTTAGAGATGGTAAGGTGATTAAGGAGTGGAGGGATACAAGGGAAAGAGTGACAGATGGGCAACAGAGGGATCTTCACCTGACCAAATGGCTGTTGGAAGCAAGCATGACAGAAGGCTGGGATAGGATTGAGTGCAAAGTGGCTATGCAGGAAACTGTGGAACTACTACAGAGAAGAGATGAAGGCAACCCATCTTGGACGGAGGAAGCTGCTGCTATTGTTGATTATATAGATATGTGTGATGTGTGTTATTTTGTTCTTTCCTTTGATAGGTAGTTGTGTTATGGCAGGTTTGCCTCAAGGGCTTGTAGTTTCAGGTCCTGTGGATTTTATTCCATCAGTAGTAGGTGGAATTGAAGCATTGTAATCATTCGGTTATGCCTGGAACATTGCTTATGAGTTTAATACATGCTTTTAATTTTGGANTCATGCAGAATGCATATTTACTTAACATTCTTTTTTTTCATAAAATCTACTTCAAATTTTTATTAAAAATAAATATTTACGGATCGACATGTCTAACATTAGACGAATTCACCTAAGTATGTATGCTTAATACCTAAGGACATGCTTGTTTATGAAATAATTCATTTCACATTCAAAATCTAACTCAACTTTAACTCAACTCCACTATCATTTATATTATTTATATAATTAAATATTATAAAACAATCATTCTTACATATCACATCAACTTTAATTCACTATTCATCCACTCACATAATTTTAACTATCTATCATTTCCAATCATTTCCAATAATTTATATCTTACTTTTACATCAAATCATTAATAATCATTTTATTTTAAATATTATTTTAATATATTATTAAAATCCCACTAACAATTAACCATACTACCTTTTTCAAAATTAACTCTAGTTAACTAAAATAACTTATTTTGAATGAAATATTTCATAAACAAGCACACCCTAAGAATGTACGCCTAATATTCCACAATTTAGTGTGATCTAATAGCTCCATAGCAAAACTGATAAATGCAAGTCAAGAACAGTGACAAGTGCATCTCAACATGCCATATTCTGGAAGTCTGAAAGGGTCTAGGCAAATTATAACCAGTACATTCTTCAAGAAATGTAAGTTCTAGTTCAAATAAAACAAAACAAAAATCCTGCAAAATCCAAAATGCAACAACATTTGCTTTACTGAGAGACATCATCAAGTTCTCATCCCTGCACAGGTCCAGAAATGAATGCTCTTCCAGGCTGCCTATTGGCCAAAGGTCCATGACATCCAAGAAGCTGTAGAATTCAAGAAAAATATACAAATGTTAAAGAGCTTACACCACAATACAGCACAAGAATTCATGTTAAAGAGCTGTAGAAGAATCCATGTTTGAAGAAAATGCAATAGTAACATCAAGTGGGAAGAAAGAATTCTGTAATAAAGATTAAAGACAAACCTTAGCATTCACACCGTCCGAAACAATCCTGTTCTCGGATTTCCATTTCAGGTAATCCGTGCGGTTGTATTTGGTGAAACCCCTGAAAATAAAGATACACAGTAATTCAAATCTCAGAGTTCTTATTCGTTCACTACACAAAAACATAATTGCCATCTTACCGAGTCACAACAAAGTTAATCGAATTATGCATAACAAGTGAAGTAACAAAAAAAAAAAAATCATGAAAGAAACAATTCAAAGGTGGAATTACAAAAGTGCTACGACATGATTCTTATAGCAAAGCAATCCACATGAAAGTAAACCAACTACATACAACAAACATAGACGAATCTTGATATTATCATATAAACAAACAATTCGAGCTGAAAGAACCAATACCATTTCCTGCTAACAATGATCTTCTGACGACCAGGGAACTTGAATTTCGCACGGCGCAATGCCTCCTGAGCATGATGACTGTTTGCATCCTTGCAGCGTACAGACAAAAGAACCTGACCAATGGCCACACGAGCACAGGTCCCCTGTGGCTTTCCAAAAGCACCTCTCATGCCAGTCTGAAGCCTATCAGCTCCAGCACACGAAAGCATCTTGTTAATACGCAAGACATGGAAAGGGTGTACCCGCACCCTCAGGTGGAAGGTGTCCTTTCCGGAAAACTTGGTCATGTACTTGTTGCAAGCAATACGAGCAGCTTCCAAAGCCTCGCTCGAGACATTTTCCTTCTCCCAACTGACCAAGTGCACGCAAAACGGGAACTCGTCAACACCTTTTTTCTTCATGCCCACATCGTAAATTCTGATCTTCGGGTCAGGCACACCACGGCAGTATCGTGATTTTGGGTATGGCTTGTTCTTGATCTGACGGTAACACCTAGCAGGCCCTGGGTAATAATAAATAGTAACTCATATTATCAAGCATTGTACAGAACATGAAAATCAAGATAGGTAGTGAAAAGGGTGCAGATAATTTGAAAAACTATTCCATGGTCTCATTATTATTCCGAAGCAGATGCATATGAACAATACTTTAAAATATACACACGAACACGATACAGGACAGCACAGTTTAACTTTTTTATTTTTTTGTTATTTTATTGAGGGCAAATAAATCAGGTTTTAACTCCACTGATACAGCAGACACTACACTAGTCACACTACTACTATTCATTCAATAATATGATGCAACACAATATTATCTCATCCGTTTACTCTAATGACGATGTAATACATACAGAATTCTAGGGTAAATGACTTTCTTGTCTAAGATAAGACATTTACAACAATCATACAAGCTCATGCATAGAAAGCCTAAATCTTTCTTTGGATATTTCAATGACAATTAAAGCAGATGATTTGCAGCTCATGAATCTGTAGATCCACTGACCAAAACGGAGCGACACTTCTGAAATGAATCAGCTCAAATTGCTAGAAATTAATTCCAAAATCAATAACACGATGCAAGTTAAGCTTTTGCTAAGTCCACATTCACATATTGCATCTCTCAAAACAATACAAATTAAATCTTCGAAAAATGGCTTACTTCTCCCCATGGCGAGCTTCTTCCAAGTGTTTATTCGGCTAGAGATCAACCCTGTAAAAAACTAACCCTAATGAGCGAACTGGTCGGCATTTATACAGATAAATTGTTGGGTTAATATTGGCCCAGTATATTATGGGCCTCCAGTCTGTTGGTTAGCCCATTACGAACTTAAGATTAACGGGCCTGGTAGCTTGTAGGTAAGGGAGAAAATTCAGAACTTAACCGTACTCCATTTATTATTTTATATTTTTAATTATTAATTATTATTTTTTACAAATATACTCTTTTTATTCTTTTATATTTTTTAAGTATTAACTATTACTTTAACAGAAATTGCCACTAAAATGGTTTTTTTTTTTAATAAGTAGGACCAATAGTGTCCCACAAACTAGTATGGTAAGTTGATTTGGTTGTTATTTGATATAGATTTGATTTGAATTTAATTGTTTTTTTTTAATTATAGTTAATTTTTAAAAAAGTGGTATGATTAATTGTTAGTGAAAATTTTAATTTATATTAACATAATATTTAAAAATAAAAAAGAGATTATGTGAAATGATGATTAATTAAAATTATTTGAAGATGAATAGTGACCTAAAATTGATGTATTGTTTACGAATGATTAAATGATATTATTTGATTATATTGTCAATATTGAGGTTGGTGAATTAAGTTGAAATTGAATTAGATTTGAGATGAAAAAAAAATAATTGGTTAAAAATCATTGAATGTTTTTGCAAAAATTTATATCCATGCACTTAACTCCTCAAACTAAAAATTGATGGGTGAAAATTAACATACAGGCCCACAATCGCTATCCTTGTGTTTTTCATCTTACAAATTGTTCATTAGTTTTTTTTTTCCTAAAAAGGAACACCCCAAAAGGGTAAGGATTAAGGCTGGAACGCCAACCTATATATACATGCTAAAAATGGGCTGAAAAATCACAAGTCTACAAGATCATACAGAAAGCACAAAACAAACAGTACAGACGAAGGAGATACTAAACTGGGCTACCAGATGCCAAAACACAGTCTGTGCCACAATACAAGAACACAAAATAAACTAAAAAGATACTCA